ACCAGCTGTTTTAGGAAATTACTATGCATTTTTATTAAAATAGAAGAAGAAACTAGGTATGTTTTGACCCTTTTTTGTAAAGATTTACATCATTTAAGCTCAAACTTGGCCTGCCTTATTGAAATATTTTCAGTAAATCTAAGATTTCACCAATTTTATATACCACTATACTAAATATATTTGTTGAAATTATCCTGGTGTACTTGCAAGTCAAACATCAAACCTCTGCCTACTTCTTACACTGGATATTGGTATAATTTGAAAAAAGAATTGTTGGAGGAAACTATACATATATACAGTACCCCATTCTAATATAGCTAAATATAGGCTTTATGAGCCCTGATTGATGGCTTTACTAAGGATTGATAAATAATTTACTAACACTTTATCGATCAGTTATAAGACATTGATAAGAATAACCTTTGGGTAGCCAGATTGTGGAAAATCCTCCTATAGCACATGTCTTAGTTTGTCGTTGTAAGTGTTAATAAGTTGTTTATAAATGGATTCTGGTCAAGATGCCCAGCAGACATTTTCCATAAGATAAGAGTTCATTGGGAGGAATTAAAATAATATAAAGCGAGTGTACCAACCTGGCAACCCAAAAGTTATAATGATTATACCCAATCTATACAGTATTAGTAAATGATTTATTAACTATTAATCAAGCCATTCATTATTTAAATGAATTAAAATAATAGCCACTAGCTACTTTCAGCTCCTGTGTATTTGATGATTAATTAGCTATATTTGTCTTTATACTGTAGCTACTAATTAAAGGTAACCTCTATTGCTAACACTTCAAGAAGACATTTAATAAAAGTGAGCGTGGAAATAGTTTGGAGCCGCTGTGTGCTGCCAGCGGTAGACCTCAGACACTCTTATCGCTCTTATTGTACTGCAATGATCTCAGGATTATATTGCTATGATTTACACTGTCGTAGTTTCAAAGTGTCAGATTTATGATCCCCGTATACTTCAGAGAAACTGGACTTTAGTGTGGAATGTGCTGATTGTGTAATAAGTTCAATGTGTGTGTGTGTTTTTGCCTCTGGAGGTACAATGTGTAGCTTTTTATTACTCAATGCGACACGAGCCGTCCCCAACTGTCCGAGCACTGAGTCAGAACATTCTTGTCAGTTCAACTGAACTTATATTTAGAACCACAGTAACACACGCACACACACA